AGAGGCACAGTTGGGCCCTCTTCTTCTGCGGGCCTCTTTTTTGCCTTCTTCACAGAAGTATCACCAACCTTCTGTGACTTCTTCTTCTGGCGTGGAGGTGATAGGATACTAGGTGGATGCTTACTCATCTCACCAGCCATTACTGGCTCCTCCGTTCTTCCCTCCACTCTCATTTTATCCACATTCTCACCTTGAGGGAGTCCTATGCGTGGTGGGGTTGCAGGGACCGGTTCTGGTCGCCTGTTACCACATCTGTAAGCTTTGCGTTCTTCATGAGATAGATACCTGAGCATGGCTTTGGAGATTGGACGTGGGCTTTTGTAGCCATGCTCGTGTTCTGTTGGGTGGAATGAGCTGAACGGGTAAAGCCTTGCATTTGGCTCTACAGCAGGCAGCTTTGCGGCTAAGAGGTCGCCGAACACCAAACCAAGGAAGCATTATATAATGAGATTTGGTTGGTTAACGTCTTCCTTGGCCTTCTGTTGGGCCTGTACCTTATTCTTTTCGCCCTTTTGGCTGGCACATTTCTTTTTTATCAGGCCAACCATGTCATCGAAGATTAATTGGGCATAGTCAAGAGGCAGATTAAAGTATATCCCATACATGATTGAAATCATGGCATGAGATGTTTGGTCATGGCTTCCAACTTTGCCAGTTAAGCAACAGTTGATTATTGAGAAAAGGGCGTTCCAAAGAGGGGGTAAATTCTTACACCTAAATTGGGTTCTTTTTGAAATGGGGGTTGCGTAAGAATGGAATGTCAGAAAGCTAATAAGTTCCTCATCTGAGGGAGTAGTAGCAAAAGAGTTTAGGTTTAATTGGGGAAGAGTGGGGAGGTGAAGAGCAGTTCGAAGGGTCTCAACATTCAACTCCTGTGGAACCAAAGATTTGTTCACTGGGTGAGAGGCATAACCAACAATGGTTAGCCCTGAGTTATCTAGGGTAGTGAGATAAGCGCTAAGAAGGAACTGTGATATAGGTTTACAAAGTGGGGCGTGTGGCAGTTAGCGCGTAAAAAAGTGGATGATTTTTAAGAATTGAAAGAAGAGGATAAGTGGATTTGGGAAAACCTGATAAAGACGGGATGAAGAAGTAGTTGTTGGGCTTCTTCACCAATACRATTTTCTCGTATTTGTTCTGAACAAAAGAAAGAGCGTGCGAGGTTAAAGCTTGCGCCTGAGTGACCTCGTTGTCACTTGAGACGTTGACGGACTGGGCGGATGCACTCGAAGAAGACATAGTTGCAGGTTTTCTTGAGAGAGAGAGAGTTTGCAGGTTTTCTGGGTTCGTCTGAGAGTTATGTGAGCGTAAGGTTTAAAATGGGGGGGAAAGAGGGTATTTATAGGTTGGGGATTTAAAAAAAAAAATGAACCGTCAAAGGTAATGAGTGACTTTGGGTGAAACGGTTCATAAAGTTACGACACGCCGTATTGGAAAAACGCACGATTGATGACGTGCGCTCCCATTTTCTGACAAGCGCGTGTGAGTTCTTACTCTTATCCGCAGAACCACGCGCACCATATCAATAGACTAGAACTATCAAGAGAGTTATGTCAGAGGCCTAAGGGTTACAGAGCCTCTGTGATATGTGCCGAGCCTTCTTTCAAGTGTTTCACCTTTATACCTAAACGATTTTATAAAAATCCACAGAGAGATCAGTATATGCTCAGCTCAACTCACAGAGCCTCTATTGGAAGCACCGGAGGTTCTGATGAGATGACCTCTGAGTACAAGATACTTAAAACGTTTTTGCACCTTATGTGGTTTTAAGTTTAGAAAACTCCCCCTCTGAGCCAACTTCCTTAACTCCCCCTCGAATAAAAACCATTTTTTTAATCTTTAAGAAGAAGTACCACAGAAGATCCGTTCAAAGAGCCTCTGTAAGCAGTCACAGAGGTTHTGTGAAAAGTCTTCTGTGAGCTAAAACAATTTATTCTTCTAAGTGTTTTATCTTTTGACAAACAATGACTCCCCCTTAACCATGCAAGCCTCTGCGTGATTAAACCTGTTGACTAAWGAATCAAGCGAAAGATTATTCAAGAAATTTAAATTATTTACAGAATTAAATTTAAAAGAGAAAGGCTATATACAAGAATAATA